TTTTTTGGTTTTTCAAGACAGGGTTTCTCTGTAGCTTTGGTGCCTGTCCTGGAACTAGCTCTTGTAGACAAGGCTGGCCTCGAACTCTCAGAGATCCACCTGCCTCTGCCTACCAAGTGCTAGGATTAAAGGTGTGCACCACCACTGCCTGGCAATTTTTTTTTTTAAAGATAGGATCCCACTTTGTAGCCCAAGTTGGCCTGAAATAAAGTCATTTTCCCTGTTTCAGGCTCTCAAGTGCTGGTATTACAGACTGGCACCATGGGTCCAACAGGATATATTGTTTTGGTTGAAGTGTGTGAAGAAATTTCAGTGTCACTAACAGACGTTGCAGAGAAGACAGCTGTGTTTTATTAGTGTTTGTGAAACTCTTCTTTGATAGGACAGCAGCAATGAACAAGAGGCCGTTTCTTACCGGTTAGCTACAACATTGTAGTCTGAGTGATAGAAACTCATTCCCTTAGATTAAAACTATATCTTCTGGAGGCCTCAGGAGGGAGATCACAAATTCAAGGCCATTCTGGACTGCACAAGGCTGTCTTAAAAGGCAAACAGACAGGCATCGATTGTCCAGCAGCTGGGGTTGTAATTCAGTGGTGGAGTGCTTGCCTAGTGTATGCAGGGCTCTGGGCCATGTGCAGATTGCAAACAAACCCAACCCAAGTCCACAAACCTATTGTCTGTCTAATCTTTGAAAGAGGGTTTTATGTATGTTATTGGACTAGGGGGTTTATATGCCATTTAGCAAAGGAAAAAGAGTGTTGGCTTCAAGGGTGATAAATTCCAGGGAAGTGTGTAGGAAGTATATAGGGCAGGGAGAATGAATGAAAGGTAAGGGCTGTTCTAGTAAGCATGTTAATAATGTCCTCTCCATCCCTCTCCGTCACTCTTCCATTACAACGTACTGGACAAAACGTCACAAAGAGAAAATCCTGCTCTGTGCTGTGGCACATAGGAGTACACTCTTGAAAGGAGTGGGCGGGGGACTGCTACAAGCTGAGGCCAGTCTAGACCATACAGTAAATTCTAGGTAAGCCTGGGCTACAGTATAAAATCTTGTTTAAAAAATATGTTGGAAGAAAATGGGGATGGATGGATGGATGGATGGGTGGATGGATGGATAGATGGATGAATAGATGGATGGATGGGTGGGTGGATGGGTGGATGGATGGATGGGTGGGTGGGTGGATGGGTGGGTGGATGAGTGGATGGATGGATGGATGGATGGATGGATGGATGGATGGATGGATGGGTGGGTGGATGGATGGATGGGTAGGTGGGTGTGTAGATGGATGTTTGGGTGGGTGGGTGGATGGGTGGGTAGGTGGATGGATGGACGGATGGACGGACAGATGGGCAGGTAGGCGGGCAGATGGATGGATGGGTGGATGGGTGGGAAGAGAAACATGCTGATTGCAACTACAGACAATACTACAGAAGAGGATCATGACCAGAGCCTACTCAAAGCCTTCAGAACCATGAGACGCGGGATTTGTTACATAGCAGGAACTGAAACATTTACAGGCTACATCCTTACCTTGAGAGGCTCTTCTGAGTAGTTACCACAGAACATCTACCCGAACTTTCTATATTTTCCAATGTTCTTTTGCACAAAATGCCACCATTGACCAAGAGCTCAGTTGGTAGGATGTTTCTTAGCATTCAGGAAACCTTGGGTTTGCTTGACACTGATGGTTGTGATAATGTGCACCTGTATGTAATCTTTGTACTCAAGAGGATCAGTAGTTCAAGGTCAGCTTTGGCTATCTATGAGTTCAAGACTAACCTGAGCTACAAAAGACCCTTTCTCAAAATATATAGAAAATAATAAGTATCAAAGCTGCTAGACGTGATGACACATTTGGGAGACCGAGGCAGGAAGAACATAGATTCTCAAAAGAACTAGTACTTTTGGGTATGTGTGTGCTGTATGCGCATCCAGTTGTGCACACAGCATGACAGGCCTGGCCGTGGCACTGGAATGAGTGGCATCCATCTTCTCTCTAGGCAGGTGCCCATCAGAGGTCACCAAACCAAACTGGGGCCTCATTTATCTCTTCAGCTCCCCACTAAGGGAGCTCATTATCAGCTACCCAGTCTGTAATCTAATGTCCACACCAAACTCTTCAGATCTCTTGGCCTTGAGAGTGGCCACTAGCGCCTTATCCCTTTGTTTTGTTCTGTGTTGACTTCCTGCAGGGTTATCAAAGAAGCCTTTGGCTTCTCTGTCTCCTATTATCTGTCCAATGGGTTTCAAAAGGCTGGCCCTCTCAGCACCTCTCAGCCTGGCTCTATCTTACCCTGCAGGCACAGATTTGAAGTCAGATAGACACCTCAGCTAGAGAAGGCAGAGACCAACCAAAGGAAGAAGTTCACCCAAGACTGAGGTGGTGAACCCATGAGCTTATTGCTTTTGTTTGTTTGTTTTACAGGAGAGTGACTTCGGCAGCCGCATTTTTAGGAGTCCCACCCTAACTGATGTGGGAGGTCCTTCTGTCTGCCTGTTGCTTTTCTTGGTTAATGAATAAAGAAACTGCCTTGGCCTATTGATAGGGCAGAACTTAGGTAGGTGGGGAAAACTAAATGTCATGCTGGGAGGAGTGGAGTCGGGGGACGCCATGGACTTTGCTGGTAGACCACAATCTCGTGGTGATATACAGATTAATAGAAATGGGTTAAATTAAGATGTAAGAGTTAGCCAAAAAGAAGCTAGAGCTAATGGGCCAAGCTGTGATTTAATTAATATAGTCTTATGTGTCATGTTTTCGGGTCAAAGCTAGCTGGGCGGCCGGAAACGAACAAGTGGCATCCCTCAACACCTAGCTAGCATGAATCAGGAAAGTTGCTGCATGGGAGCTGCCTGTGCATCTTGCAGCTGAAGGAGGGAAGACTCTCCTGCCAGCAATTGTTTACCTTTTAGGTAACCTCAAGGAGGGGCCTCGCTAGTGGGTCTCTCTTCCAAGTGGCTTGTGAGTTTGAGAGACTCAGAGAAGAATGTCTCAATTTAGGGGAAACTGATGCAGAGTTGTTCCCACCACCTGCCTGAGCCCTCACCAAGCCTGCCTGGGAGTTACTGACTTCTCCAGAGATAGATATCACGGGGAAGGCCTTGCAGCCATGCTGGCAGACATGAAGATATTCTAAAAGGACACTCTGCCCCTCTCTTTTCCTGTCAGAGTATTGAGACAATGGACCCCCAAATTAGAATTTTACCCAGAAATCTTTTATATGAGAAGCAAAAGGCTGTCAGCCCTGGAACCAGCCAGGGAACGTCTTCCTTCAGAAATTCTACACAGTTCCAACACCATCAGGTTACCTTGCAGTAGAGGCTGTTGTCAAGAGGATGATGGGTCAGCGACAGCCAGGATCTTTCCTAGACATGCATTCCTCTTGCCCTCTGCACTTCAGCTTCTTGTCAGGACCCTGAAGATGAACTGGAGGCTGGGGGTGGGGAGGGCATATGCCACTCGACTGCTTTGTTCCTCTTCCCAATGTGGTCACATAGAATAAATCCCTTTCTCAGTCTTTTCCACTATGTCGACTTAAGTGGCCTGTTGAGTATGGATGGCTGAATCTGGTTCATTATAGCTGCAAGGGCCCAGCCTCTGACCCTGAAATCTCCGATGACAGGTGTGTAGACACTCTTTTAAATCAGGAAACGTGGCTGGTCCAGGTGACACACACCTTTAATCCCAGAACTGGAAAGCAGAAGTAGATGGAGTGCCATGAGTCTGAGGCTAGCCTGGGCTACAAAGTGAGAGTTTATCTCAAAAGCAAGCAGACAAACAAAACCGGCATGTGTAGGGAAGTAGACTAAGCCCTGAAAGACTGCCATGGGAAGGACCCCAGTGCTTCAGAACCATGGGAATGGCAGCACCTTCCTCTGGCTGAGTATGGATGTTGACTGTGCAGAAAGTATCAAGGTCCATCCTCTGGGGACTGCAGCCTGGAATTGCTCCCCTACAGGGACCCCACCTCCACCCCCAAGGTCAGTTTCTTAGTCGGACTGAGTTTCTGCATTGCTGATGCATCATCTCAGAGGGCTGTAGACTTCTTTGAAGACAGGGCAGCATGGCTTGGAGGGCCACTTTGGTTGGAGCAGTAGACAGAATTCCCCCGGCTCTGTCTGCTTCATCCTGCTCCTCTCTTCCCCTTGAACACCCATCTCCCTCCCATCAGAGCTAGTCTTTCCTTGTGAAGACTGGCTGCAGCTCCATCCTATGCCTGTCTCCCCTCTCCCACCCCATGCAAACCCCAAAGAGGCCAATTTGCATAACATTTTGCCTATGTTTGCCTGATGTCTCCTCTTTTGAACTGGTTGGGGGCTCCCTGGATTCTGTCTCCAAGGAGCTTGGCACCTCCTTGAAGGCAGAAGGATAAGTTTAAGTAGCAGTGGGGTTCCCTTGCAGGTCAGGGTGGGAGAGTATCCTGAGGCAAGCAAGGATGTTTGGACACACACACACACACACCCTTTAGAAGGTCCAGCCTTTTAAGTATGGGAAGATTGTCTGTGGAGTGACTGGCCAGTGTGAGCGTGGTGAGCATGTCTCTGCAGGTCTTGCCCTTCACCCCATCCCCTCTGCCTCACTAAAATAAATAAATAAATAAATAAATAAATAAATAAATAAATAAATAAATAAATAAAACCAAACTAACCATTAGATTACATTCCTAAAGCTAGCCATCTAGGTCGGTTACCTTATTTGGCTACTTCCTCCTTCTTAGGCTAACCACCCTGGTCCTGTTATCAAAGTATTAAAATCTAGCAGTCAAAAGCCCCCTTTGGCTCACCTAATTAACATGCCCAATAAAAATTAAACACCTCATCCTAACATGGGATTTCCCCTTTTCCTTTTATAAAAACCACCATTTGCCAATGGGCCTTGTCTGTCTTCTCTCTATCCAAAGGCAGCCCTTTGTCTCCCCTCCCCCCAACCAGGACAAAGATCCCTTTCCCCTTTTCCTTATTTCCTTCCCCTTCTCCCTTTTCCTCTCTCTCCTATCTTTGTCTCCTATTCCCTGCTCTTTGTCCTTTGTGCTGAGAACGAGGTCTTGGGGGTCCTGAGTCAATACCATACCTTTCAATCAGGTCCGGGTGGATGAGCCTGATATCAGTAGGACTGCCAGAGGGATCTATAGAGAGGAATACTTTGCATTGGTATGGATCTTGGTCGATTGATACAAATTTAAGGTCGATTTTGTCACACTGTGCACATGTATTTCTGCTCTTGTTTAGGGTATTGTGTTTGTGCAGCCCATTTAAAAGGCAATGTATAGTTAAGAAATACAGATTAATAGTCACTGTAATAGGCCGGGCGGTGGTGGCGCACGCCTTTAATCCCAGCACTCAATCCCAGCACTCAGGAGGCAGAGGCAGGCGGATCTCTGTGAGTTCGAGACCAGCCTGGTCTACAGAGCTAGTTCCAGGACAGGCTCCAAAAACCACAGAGAAACTCTGTCTCGAAAACCCAAAAAAAAAAAAAAAAAAAAGTCATTGTAATAATAAAACTTTTAATTACATTGGTTAGGTTTTCTAGATATACAGAGATATATTTCAGTTAGATAATCGTCAATACTTCAAAGACCTACAGAATATGGCATTTAAAATGTTTTAAGAACTCAGACTTTTCTCAACAGTGAGACATGTCTGCTTCTGGCAGTGCCAATTACTTCAGAAAGATTGGTGGGCATTGAAGAGATTTGTTGTGGAATTTTCCTTCAGTGTGACAAGGCCAGCAGTTTGGGCAAGAAACTGCTCTTTCCTGGACTGCTTTATGGCATGCTTATAAATTGGACATACAGGGCCCACAGAAAAATGACTGCTGAACTTGTCTAAAGAAGGTGAGACAATCCTTCAGGGTTCCTGCTTCATGGAAGAGTCTGCCAGACATTCTGCAGGACACAGAAAAACTGCCAAAATAGGCAAAACAGTCTTTCAAATTTCCTGTTTCATGGAAAAGTCTGGCAGATATTATGGGCCTGTAGGCTGAAGATGGATGCCAACATTACAGAAGAACTTTGGATGACTGTCCAGGCAGAGAGATGTCTCTGTCAACTCTAGAGTTTTGGAAGTTGCTTATAATGCACTTGCTGTTTACTTAGGTAATATTATATCCTCCTGGTGTCTTTGACGGAATTGATGACAGATAGTTATAGTTTTCCTTAGTTATGATAAAAGATAAATTAGATATGAAACTTTAGACTCAAAAATAAATATTGTAACTGTAATTCTTGCTTGTTACCTGTTTTGTTATATGTAATTTTACTATGTTAAAGTTAAAATTTTCCTTTTTATTTAGACAGAAAAGGGAAGATAATGTGGGATGCCCCTCTACATGCTATGAATATGTTTTATTGCCATTTGTTAATAAAGAAGCTGCTTTGGCCTATGGCAGGGAAGAATATAGATAGGTGGGAAAAGCTAAACTGAATGCAGGGAGAAAAAAAGTGGAATCAGAGAGATGCCATGTAGCTGCCAAAGGAGAAGGACGCTGGAACCTTACCAGTAGGCCACAGCCTCATGGTGATACACAGATTAATAGAAATGGGTTAATTTAAGATGTAAGAGCTAGCTAGGAATACACCTAAGCTATTAGCCAGAGTGTTGTAATTACTATAGTTTGGGTGTGATTGTTCGGGTCTGGGAGGCTGGGAAGCAAACAAGCAGTCTCCTTTACAAGAATCATCATTGCCTCATCCTAGAACCTGAAACCCATGTTGGTGTGCGTTAAAAACCATGTTGGTATGAAGTTTAGTTTGCTGATCTTATTTACGGGAGTGTGAGTGAGAGGTTACCTAAAAGGAACATGGATGATTCAGAGGCAGTTACAGTGTCAAAAAGTCCACCCCAGCATGGGTGACTCACAAGTGACATCACAGGAATTGGCTTCCTGAGTTAGGACAGCTTCATCCTTCGGCTATTTTTGTTTATATAAGTTTCTTGTGGGTCTTGTTTCAGGAGCTTCCTGAAACTTTTTAAATTTCTTTCCTTTCCCGAACCTTGTATTGAAGGAATCCCAAATGGTTTGCCCCCTGTACACAAGGCCATGTTTGGGATTAAAAACTGATGTGGGACTCAGAATCCTGAGTATGACTTGATCCTGAGCAGCTTAAGCTGGAGATTCCCTGGCCACTTTAAGAGAGGGTTGACTACCAAATAACACCCCTCCAAAACAACAACAATACCAAACAACACCTCCCGCAAACAACAACAATACCAAATAACACCCCCCCCAACAACAATACCAAATAACACCCCCCAAAACAACAACATACCAAATAACACCCCCCCCCCAGCAAAAAACAAAAACAAAAATGAAACAACAAAAACCAAAACACTTTCAAACCAAACCAAAACAACAAGAAAAACAAAAGCTAGGCATGGTGGTGCACACCTTTGATCCTAGGCAGGCAGAGAGTGGGTAGTGTTATGATCTCTCCTGTCAACTGGGTACCCTGTCCCCTTAAAAAACAAGCCTTGCCCACTCCCCCTTCTGCCAAGGCAAGTGGATCTTCTCCTCCAGCCTGTATGCTCTCTCTCTCTCTCTGTCTGTCTCTCTCCCTCCTCCCCACCTCTTCTCCCTCCTATTCCCCACCCCACCCTTTTCCCCTTCCCTTCCATAACCCACTAAATAAACTCTATACCTAAACTCTCTCTGCATGGCGTATCTGCCTGTCTCTCACCTGCCAAGGGAACCTACCAGGGCCTCTGGGGACTCACTGGGTCACCTGCCATGGCCCCTCATGGGACCTGCTGCCCCTTGTGAGACTGCTGCCACCGGTCTTCTACCCCTCCCCCCATGCCATATCCAAAAAGAATAACAGGTAGATTTCTGTGAGCTTGAGAAAAACAGAAAACAAGTAAGATCTGAGTGGGAAATGCCAGGCCTGAGTCTGGGTTTAAATTCAGGTTATCAGACAGGACTTGGTGGTGAGAATGGCCAAGGTTTTCCGTAATACCAGGTCCCAGAGAGACAAAGGGACAGAGGGGGTGTTGTGTGGTGTGGGCATCTGTAGTGCTACAGCTTTGAGGGAAAAGGTATCCTGTCAGCTAAGGAATACACAAAGTCACTGCACACAGCAAACCTCACACAAGAGATTTATTGGGAAAGATACAAGAGGTGGCTGCCTCTGCTGGGAGGGGGCTGGCAGGGAACTGAGAGAGAGACAGGTTTATATGGGGTTTCTTGGGCATGGAGTTTTCCAGGGTGGGGATTGGTAGGATTTCAAGTGCTGAGTTTAGGGTAAGCCCAGGGGTTGGTGAGATTTCAGGCTCAGAATTTAGTGGGTTTTTTAACCCAAAAGTGGCCTTTTACCCTACAGTATACTGTTTTTTATCTAAGTTGTTCTATTCACCAATAAAGACTCACGAGTCAGATATTGGAATGAAAACCTGCTTGATCAGAGATGTAGAGAGGCAACCAGCTGACCTTCCTTTTTGACTGGAGACACAGCAAGAAAGCATCTCTCCTTCTGTCTCAAGCCAAAAAGGGCCACGAATCTCCAAGTCCCTCCCTACTCCTTCCTGTACATCTCTCTATCAATATCCCTGGCTCCTCCTTATTCTTGTCAACTACTTGCTGGCTCCACCTCTTGATTCAAGTTCAGTTTTATTAACACAGTCTCAGAGTTCCGGTGTGATCAGGTATGATCAAACATCTCTCAACAACGGTGTCTCCCACAGCTCTTTGCCCAAGCCTCAGTTCTTGGTGAGACACTCTGACAACCTTGTCCCTATCTGGCCATCCTGGGTCCTGAGTCATCTCTTCTTGTCCTGTTTCAAGAGCAGTGGTTTTACCATGCCCAACTTCTTGAACACCCTTCCTGAAAGGACCTATATTGGCCTAAGGCACCCCAAACCAAGCTTTCAGCACAGAGGAGAGTTATTTGCCCCAGAGGGACAAAGGGCAGGGAATAAGTGACAAAGAGAGGAGACAGAGGACTAGGGAGAAGAGAACAAGGGAAGGTATCTGTCCCAGAGGGACAAAGGATTGCCTCTGGATAGAGAGAAGACAGACAAGGCCCATAGGCAAATGGTGGTTTAGAAAGGTAAAAGGGGAAACCCCATGTTAGGATGACGGGTTTAATTTTTATTGGGCATGTTAATTAGGACAGCCAAAGCCGGATTTTGATTGTTGGACTTCAATACTTAGAGAGTTGAACCTTGGTAGTCAGCCTCAAGAGGAGGAAGTGGCCAAATAAGGGAAGAGTCCCTGCTGGCTAGCTGTAGGAATGTAATCTAATGGTTTTTAGCAAGGCAGAGGGGGTGGGAGAGAAGAGTAAGGCCTGCCAGAGCCATGTTTGCCACGCTCACGCCTGTCAGAGACCCTTCACTTCCTGCTCTCAATGTTCATACTGAGCCTCCTTGCAATTTATTTTTTTCTAGTTTGGTCTTGGAGTCTGAGCTCAGCTTTTATCCTCTCTCCAGGAGATCCCCAATGCAAGAGGGTGGGATTCCTGGTGGTGGATCAGGTGTGACTTGGCGGAGGCTGCTGGGCAAAGCATTTTATTCTTACAGCTCCGAGAGGGAAGAGGGGTACCTTAAGGGTGCAAAAGTTTGCTTCTCATTGCTGTGGTAAAGACTTTCAAAGGATAGGGTTTGTTTGGTTTATACATCCCAACAACAGTCCATCTTTAAGGAACACCAAGGTAGGAATTCAAGCAAGACAGGAGCCCAGCTGAAGCAGACCATGGAGAATGCTGCTTACTGGTTTGCTCTCCATTGTTCATGTAGCTTGATTTATTGTCTATTATTTTATATGTATGGACGTGTTTTGTTTCTGTACCACATTGAATTTCCCGAAAATGGAGTTCCCAGATAATGATCAGCCACCATGTGGGTACTGGGAACCTTGGGCCTCTGGAAGATTAGCCATTATTTTAATCATTGGACCATTTCTCCAGCCTCTCAGCTTACTTTTTTTTTTTTTTTTTAATACAACCCAAGACCACATGCCCAGGGGTGGTACCACCCATAGTGGGCTGGGTCCTCCCACATCAATCATTCATCAAGGACATGCCCCCATGGACTTGCCTACCAGGCCAGTCTGGTAGAGGCATTTCCTCTGTTGAGATCCCCTCTTTCCAGAGGATTGTAGCTCAGCCAAGTTGACTAAACACTAAACAGCCCATTC